GCGGACATCAATAAACCGGAACACGGAAATCCGACACCGATCCGTCGGCTCCCTGTTCTGTCGAACATTCTGGCGAACATTCTGCCGCAGAACCCAACGCAGAGACACGGCGCAAACTCATTCCCGTCAACCCGTACGATTCAGCCCGTATTCGTGTACGGGGATATTTAGTTTTGAGGTCCATACGGCGTACAGCCATTCCAATTAGGGCAAAAGCATTTTTTTGTCTATTTGTTTGTGTTGTTCCCTTGTGTTGAGATGTATAAGGGCACGGGGTGACCAATAAGGTCTGAATTGGTCTATAACAAGGTAGGGCACTGATAAGGGGTTGACAGGATGCAAACTGCAAGGGGGTCTCTCCGCGTTCTCTTGCCAACGACAGCCACCTTACTCATCAACAAAGACCTCCACAATTACATTGTATATAATCGCCAATCCTAGAATCTCACGCGATGTTACATTTGGCGCTAAACGGGGGTTCCATATTTTTATTGTATCTGGAACGCTGTCGGCAATAGTAGCCGGTGATCCATCAGCATTTGTTTAACGAGCCTGACGCCGCTGATGAGACCCAGAAGGCCGAAACAGGTCCGGAGTTTATTTGAAGAAACAAATGCTGCTGAATGTCGTCTAGAAAGCCAACAGGCTGACCGGACTTAAACATACGGTAGGTTGATTCATAGACGTAGGCTTTGCTGATGTTTGCTTTTATGCGCAAGACTGTGGGCTTTGCCATGTCATCTGTAGCACCGGTCATACTGTACCGCCAACAGAATACATGAGTAGACCACAGTTAGTCAATGGGCAGGTTGAACTTGAACTTCTTTCCCACCGTACGTAGCCAACCCTGCTAATTGGCAAGTCGTATGCGGTCAGACGCCTCTTGCAGGGCGTCTGACCGTCGTGGAAGAGTAGGCCAAAAAGACCCTCGGGAGGGGCTCTCTAGCGCTCCCTCTAGTGAAGGCCCTTCCGCCAGCAGGCGCGTGAGCAAAGCGGTTTCCAGGGCTGCACCCTCCAATACTGCGTCAATGTGTGGTGGTTTCAATGACAAACCAAACCCACAGCTCATCAATCCCTGGCAAGAGATAAGCCCTCGGGTCTCCGAGAGGGCTCCGTTGGAAATTGGGACCGCTCGCACACGACGGGATTATGTAGCTATGCCGCTGGGGGATTTGTGTGTGTGTTTTTAGATGTACAGGGTGTCCCCACAAAAAGGCATCATCCATTATTCAAGTATTATAATGAGACAGTAGTTTTGAATGAGGTTGATAAAACCCCCAAAGACAAAGATCAATTCCCAACGTAGACTCCAACGAAGCGTGCCGGTGGGGCATCCAACACAGCCCGATGGGCCTCGACGGCGCGGCGACATTCCCACCGCCGGCTTCGGCACTGCCAACGGGGAGGAGCGTCAACCCCAGGCTCGCTCGCTTCGATCGAGAAGACAACGCTTCACAGACTCGTTCAGAAATCGCGAACGCAGCCACCGTTAAGTCGAGGGTCATGAGCGCGTGCTTAAGCGCCGAGAGTAACGCGCCACGGTGGACATCCTGGGAGGACGACTTGCGGGTCATCGTCGTTACCATGCCCGCACATCCTTTCCTCGCCACCGTGGGCGAGGTATTTAAATGAGAGCCGTTTTTTTCTTTTCTCTCCAATCTTTTCCAATCTTCCTGCTAAACGCCCGGGTCGCCGTGCCCAGACCCGCAGCGTGGTGCGAGACGCGGGCAACCGCGTAAACCCGCCGGGCAACCGCGTAAACCCGCCGGGCACGTGCGCAGACTTGCTTTAAAGGTACACGCACACACACACAGACAGACTCGCAGATTCTCCTCTTCCCCCCCCTTCCACCCCAAGTGTAGGCTTGGAAACGGAGAGCTGTTAGCGAGCACCTACTGACGCTGGAAAGAACACAAGCATGTTGGTATGGCCGGGAACCATGTAAGACTGCCTTTGCCGCCCCGTTTCTCATATTCACACACTGCACCAGGGACTTGATTTTGTTCATGCTGAGTCAACATATTAGAAGCTCACACCAGATTTGTAATTGTTACATCTCAATAGGTGGGGGGGGGGGGGGCGCAATGGTTCGCGCATTACGCCATGAACTCTGTAAGCCGAGGTTGACTCCTGGTCATGGCTATCAGAAGTGGCGAAGTAAAATCTGCACCGACATTGGCTCCCCTTCATCAACCCACGTTGACCAGCCAGGTGAAGTATGGCCAAACAACCCCCGAGGCCTTCGTCCAGCAATTGCTCAACTCCGCTTAGCTTGCAAGGCAGGGATTAGATCTGGCATATTCCAGATGGTTTGTTAATACTACATCGGCCATCACATATCAGTGAACAGTAAATTATATTCCGTATGAGCGTTCAGGCACATCAAAATCACCTCCATTCTCAAATGAGTCTTAAGTGATGTCCATCACCAATGGAGCCCCTGTGACCCGTGGTAACATTTCCACAGTCCTGTGGCAGGAGATCTTCACCCCAATCGACAATGGCTGCTCCCAAAATGGTGCTCATTTTATAAACCCCCGGAGAGACGACGACGATGATGATAATGATGATGGGCTCGACTCACAATTTGCAATCGCGGTATTCCGATTACAAACGTCTATCGAGGCCGGAACGTTGCATGACGAGGGGTTGGCGTGGCCAGAACCAGGCCCGGCCACCTTTGTCTCCGCAGTGCACTCTTAACGACAACAGCAGAGCCACGTGGGTCACATCTCCGAATCCCTCTGTCATTCAACCCTGCGTTATGTTGATACGCATCGAATATTCAACAAAACCAGTTCCATAATCCACTCTGCCTGTGGTTACCGTTTGCAAATCGGAGGCAGGATAATTAAATGGCATTAGGAGACTAAACCTGGCATCAATTATTTCACAAAATAAGTCTGCGTCCACAGGGAACGGGATTATGAAAATAAAAAAAATTAAAGAAGCAAGACGCTCAGCTGGTGTGCAAGAAGGCAGGCAGGGGACTGACAGCTAGAATTGAAAGCTCATTGACCTGTCTGCCACTATGTCCACGTGGCCTTTCCAGATAACATTTCTCTCCACACGCCGTACTAACCACACGTGCACTTTTATTTCTTTATATAAATTAAACTGGCGGGGGGGGGGGGGGGGTTGGGTTTCGTGCGTGCCGTGTGCCTTCGTTTCGGTTGGGCAGCCCCGATTTAATTGGGACATCAAGATGAGTTTCCATTGCCAATCACGAGCGCAGTTGGCGAATCAGTGAGCGAATCAGTGGTCATTGCTCAACGGATAAAGGTAAAGTGCAGCCCTGCTATTTGCTTGGGGATCTGAAATTTTTATTCTGCATACTTGCTGGCGGAAGGGCGTCCATGAGAGAGAGAGAGAGAGACAGAGGTCTCGGGGAGCTCCTCGCTACAGGATGGTTTGGCCGACTCTCTTCCATGCTGGAAGAGGCGGGAGGAGTACCCACACTTTATCTCACCACACGCTATCCGCCCATCGACGAGCTGGTGTGACACATTTACGTTGTGCCGCTAAGTGGGCTAGAGGCGCTTTGGGCGGGGGGTTCAGGAAACCGGCCATCGTTTCAGCTGCAGAGGCCGGAGATTGGATCGACCTGGACACCTCCGGTTTGCAAGCGCGGCGTGCTGACCGCTACAGCACGCCGGGCTCCCGCTCGGCAGTGCCGTGCAACAAGAGACAATCCTCAAACACGACGAGACAAAGATCCCCCGTATCGCCTTACAACAGACCGCCCGGGACCAAGTGCTGCTGTTCGCGAGCGCCTATGAAGGCCGGCACGGCACACGAGGAGGCGGGTGGCCAGCACCACGGCCACCTTTGTCTCTCCCCTCCCATCGCTGTTGTTTACACAAACGCACAACATACCCATTTTTAAGGATGGGGGGGGCCCAGGACCGGGTTGGGATAGCCGTCGCTGCCGTTGTTGGCTGCGAGAGCTTCGACTCGAGCTCGGGTCGGCGGGTTTTTCGTGGCGCGGGACGCCGACCGCTGCGCCGCCGCTCCGCACGGAGACAATCGCGGAGACCACATTGCCACGACGACGACGACACACAACACAGCGGTGCCGTGATAAACACTCGCGGCGTTAAATTGATACGACGCACGTCGATATATTGACGCGGCGCCACAAAGCGTATAGAGTCGCGCACTAATAACAGCCCGTCTCGGCGCTCAAATGGGCGCGCGTGGTGGCCACTTATCTCTGGCCACGGCCCTAATTAAGCAGTGGACACTCAACATATCTATGCTGCTGGGACCAGTCCCTGCCCAAGGCAACTGCTGTTGACTTACAACAAAGTGGTGCACATTTGATCGACCTCAGGAAGAATAATGCTGATGGGCTGAGACGATTCCTGAGGGGCGAGGGTAGAATTTGAATTTACAACCTTCTGATAATAACCTGGCATTACAGGTTTTCTCACACAATAAACAAAGAACTGGTTTAAATATCGGAAGGTGGGAGCTGGTAACAATAAAAAAACGTTAAACTAGAGAGTGTGCCAGCGAGCACCCTCCTCCTGACACTAACAATCAACTTTAAACCGTTGTTCAAGCTGAAGCGAGGTGACAACTCAAGAGGTCAGGGGGCAGCCTTATTTGCTGGGCCACAGGTGGCCGAGATTCATCGTCAACTATTTTTGGTTTACTATTTTATTTTACCAGGTAAGGCCCCACTGAGCTATCTAGCTTTTTTGTTTAAGTGATCTGGCTATCACAAATGATAGCTCAACGAAGTGGCTTATCATCATGTGGAAATTTATACCAGCCAATACTTGAAATGCATGTTTATAAGTGTGGAGGGAAAAACCAGGAGGACCCGGTAGAAAAATCCACGGGACCACGGGGGAGAGAGATGCGGCAAACTGCAATAATAAAGCAGGCGTCAGGGTCGGGATCGAACCCACGACCTCCTGCATACCAGGCGAGGTAGTTAACATCTCCTAGCCACCGTGGCGCACGAGGACGTCGCCGCACGCCGGGCGGCTCACCTCCATCCGTCGTGCTGTAGGTAGCTGAAGGCGCCGTCGATCACGCTGGCGCAGAACTGCCCGCCGGTGACGAAGAGCGCGTTGATGGTGACGAGGCGGCCCCGCAGGTGTGGGGGGGAAGCCTCGGCGATGTACATGGGCACCCCCATGGAGGCCAGGCCTGTCACGTGTGGGAGGTGGGTACAGGGAGGGAGGGAGGTGGCATGGACGTCAAGGAGGAAGCGGTGAGAGAGGAAGCGAGAGCCAGAATGGGGGACAGCAGTAAAGGTGTCGGCGGTGAGAGTGGGGGGGGGGGGGGGGGGGCAGCAATGAATGGAGTGGCGGTGAGAGTGGGGGGGGGGGCAGCAATGAATGGAGTGGTGGTGAGAGTGGGGGGGGGGCAGCAATGAATGGAGTGGTGGTGAGAGTGGGGGGGGGCAACAATAAGTGGGGCAGCGGTGAAAGTGGTGGGGGTCGACAGCTGGGAGAGGTGGACAGCAGCGACAGAGAGCTGGGGCAGTTACAGACTCGCCATCGAAAGCAGCGGAAATCGCGGCGCCAATCGCCATCGGGTACGAAAGCAGCTGCCACGAGTTGGGTGGGGGTGGGGGGGGAGGAACCGAACCGCTCACCGATGCCACATCCGACGATCACGCGCCCCACCAGCAGCACCACGGGGCCCTGCGCGAGCCCGAGCGCGAGCGACCCCACCGCGAAGAGCGTCGACGCGGCCAGCACGACGGGGCGCCGGCCCGCGCAGTCCGCCACCCAGCCCCCGAGCAGCGCCAGCAGCGCCGCGGCGCCAACGGCCGCCGACACGAGGGCCGCCTGCCACGCGGCGTTCAGCGCGTAGCGGCGCTTCAGCAGCAGCATGGCACCCGACACCACGCCCGTGTCGTAGCCGAACAGGAAGCCGCCGATGGCCGAGAAGGCGCACAGCACGAAGATGAAGGTCGGCGTGGGGGGGCCGGTGCCGGCGGGCTCGGCGCCATCGCCGCCGAGGTTGCTCTCGCTCGAGCCGGGACCCACGATGCGCCGGCGCTCCGTGTCCGAGCCACGTCGCCCGCCCATCTTGCTGATCGTCGGTTGGTGGGGGCCGTCAAAGCTTCTGCTGTCGCAACTCCTCCTTGGCCACCACCACCACCGTCACCACCGTCACCAGTGCAGCAGCAGCAGCAGCAGCTGCTACTGGAACCACCACCACGACATTGGGGTATGAGATGATGTTGTGGTTATGAGCTGAATGGAAGTGCTGGATGAGGAAGAAGCATTGGAGGTCAGTGTGCAGGTTAAGAGTCTGCCTGGTGAAATGAGCGCACGGTGGTAATCATCTCTATTGGCTGCCCTGAGCCAGTGGTGGAAATTCCACATTTTCATGGCAGGCACCACATCTCTACTGGGAACCGAAAAAGCCATTTGTTATTTCCCTGCCACCCACCCCCCCGGATGCGTTTCCCAGGTTGTGCCGGAACGCCCTGTCCTGAGCGGTGATGAGCCACAACGCTCCGTGCCACGTGACGAGCCCTTCAGTTCCCCGAAGACGTGTTATGATGTATAACAATCATTCAAATGTATAATGCGCATTCCATTCCAGGATCCCAATGCGCTTTTTGTATGGAAAGCAGGAAACAAAAACAGAACCAAGGACAACCGACCAAACTAAAGAGGGAAGGCCACTTTAAAGAGGGGTTTTCAAAACAGACGACAGACTCTGATTTCCTGTATGCGGGCGAAGGCCTTGATCCAGGGTCAAAATACTGCACCCCCCATCTCCAGCAAAGGCCCTTCCGCCAAAGCGGTGGCATAGGCCAGCAATTGCAGGGCTGCACCTTTAGCATTCGCGTGACAAGAATTCACACTCGCACGCACTCAGTGCGCAGCCCATTTGTCAATCCACTGCTGGATGAGGTCCACATCTCCACTTACTTGACCATACTTCACGACATACCTGTCAACCCCTTATCATTGCCCTACCTTATTACAGACCAATTAAAACCTTATTGGTCACTCCGTTCCCTTATAAATCTCAACGTCTATCCTACAAAGTCCCATCGCAAGGGCTGACACCTGTCACCACACGGCTGGTCAATGCCGATGATCCGGCGAAAGTCGGAGAACGCAGACAGACGCAGGAGCATCCTGCCACAGCCAACACGCAGGGGCTGTTGCGTGGCCGAACAGCAGCCTATAGCACGTGTCTTGTGCAGGGGCTGTTGCGTGGCCGAACAGCAGCCTATAGCACCTGTCTTGTGCAGGGGCTGTTGCTTGGCCGAACAGCAGCCTATAGCACGTGTCATGTGCAGGGGCTGTTGCGTGGCCGAACAGCAGCCTATAGCACCTGTCTTGTGCAGGGGCTGTTGCTTGGCCGAACAGCAGCCTATAGCACCTGTCTTGTGCAGGGGCTGTTGCGTGGCCGAGCAGCAGCCTAAAGCACCTGTCTTGTGCAGGGGCTGTTGCTTGGCCGAACAGCAGCCTATAGCACGTGTCATGTGCAGGGGCTGTTGCGTGGCCGAACAGCAGCCTATAGCACGTGTCTTGTGCAGGGGCTGTTGCGTGGCCGAACAGCAGCCTATAGCACGTGTCTTGTGCACGCCGGCAACAGCCGTCCAAGCACTCGAACCAGGCTCAAACATAAACAATCGTATGTATGTGTGAACACACACACACGTAAATGTGTGTTCACACACACACACATATGTGTGTGTGTGTGAACACATCCACATCAATGTAATCCGTTGTAGTCGCGGTATTGAGAAGGCACGACTCGCTGTCAAAGTTGCAGGTTCAAATCCTGGGTCCGATGTCGCCCCGTCGTCACCACCCATCAACCTGCATCATCATTGCTCGGCGTCAGATAAAACTGGTACAAGGTTGTGGGGAAACGAGTCGTGGACTCGCTGCGGCAGAGCGAGGTGACTTTACGTAACAACACTGCAAGTACGCAGCTTGTGCCGCGCAAGCCGACACAGCCCCTGACAACTAACCGCATGGTACACGGCAATGGAATGTTGACAGCGGACACAGCAACTCCGTTCAACTTCTCTCTCTGCTGAAGGGGACGCCACTCATCGGCTGCGCTTTCAGTCGCAGAGCAGCGTCCACCGTTAATTAACGCACGAACGCGGCACTTGCGTACCGTTGGCGTGTATGTAGTAATATCCTGTGGGTTGTTGTTGTTGTATAAATCGTAAATAAAGCTGGCGTACCTGTTGACGCTGCGCTGCTGACGCTTCCTGTTGCTCTGCCACGGGACCGGGGTGACATCACCTTATATACGACCACGTGACCGCGTCATCACGCCCCCCCCCCCCACTACTCACCACCGCCTTCTCGCTCCTATTGGCTGGCAGGGAAATTGGTTTGATTGCTTGTGTTGCAGTCGAAACGTCGTGATAATTTTATTGTTTTATATTTGTATTATTTTATTGTTTCCCTTCTACGTGACTTTACCGAAAGAACCAAGACTAAGTTCAACGGTTGAACCACGAGACTGGAATTTCCACCGCTTGATTAAAAAAATATCAGTTAGTTACGATAGTTTTCACGGTAAAAAAGGTAAAACGTTTTCAATGCACGCACTTTTATTTCCACTCGAAAGTGGAAAATAACTTATTTTGAGCCCACGATTAAACAAATTTTATACTATCTTGATTTGATACGCTGAATGAAAGTGGGCGGCTTCCTTTCGATGTTTCAATTTCTTTATGCAAGCCACCCACTTTTATTCAGCACATAAAAGTGTGCATTTTTTACTTTTAACGAATCTCAGAAACTAAGCGAGGATCAAAAAACGCTAACCAACATAGAGCTATTATATTCAAATTCGGTCAAAAAACCCCTCGATATTTCAAGAAGCGCAATGCATGCGAATACAAGACGGTCCTTTCATTCATAGCGTCACGAAGCATTCCTGAGAGCCCCATGCGGCTCTGAAGCTGCAGGTTGCCGACCCCTGAACTAGGTTCGGCCCCACGGTAGAGATATATTAATTGCCTTGCCTGGTATGCAGGAGGTCGTGGGTTTGATCCTGACCCCGACACCTGTATATTTGGAGATTGCATGTTCTCCCCGTGGTCATGTGGATTTTTCTCCTGGTACTCTGGTTTTTCCCTGAACGTTTAGAGACATGCATTTAGCGTATTTGGCTGCTATAATTTTCCACATAAGCCACTTCGTTGAACCAACGGTGGCCAGGCCTCTTTTGAAAGAGCTATACATCTCAGTGGGCCTTACCTGGTATTTTATTCTCATTCTACGTGACTTTACCGAAAGAACCAAAGAAGATGAATAATTGCAGTCACGAAAGCTTTAAATCGAAAAATAAAGTGTATTTAGCATATATTTTTTAGGAGTACCAGGTGTAGGTTTTGGCTGAGGTGGCAGAAAAGCAAGTTTTTTTTTACTCCATCTATGCAGGAATGTTTTCCTCCCTTATATGCGGTGGATTTTCTCCAGGTACTTATTTCCCACGTGCTACCAGCATGAAGTAGTCACACTAACCCCCCACAACCCACATTGTGGGGAGGCCCTCATCCAGCAGTGGACTGATAAAACAGGCTGTACATTTCGATGCCAGCACCAGATCACCATCTCCATTCCTGGTTCAATGAATTGTGTGATGCTTTGTGAAAAGTCCACAGTAATTGAGCTAAGTAGACTGATCACTACATAGAAACGGAGAATTTCCACTACGGATTCAGGAATGCACAACACTCCAAACATGTCTGTGGCACGATGGTCGTCACTTGGCAATTCAGTTGCAGTGGTGACAATTCCACATTCAAGTGGCGTGGTCCATTTGACAACCAACGCATCAAACACCATATAATTATCCCCATAAACAGTTACATCAATTTTTGCTAGTAGCAATGAAATGAAGCAAGTGAACAGATATATACATTTTTATGTACTTTATTTAACACATTTAACTTCCAGGGTGGGATAGCCTATATCGGTTTAAAACAAAAAGCAAAAACAATAACCCAGAAATGATCATTTGATAAAATGTACAACAGTCAGTCGAACACAAATGACATCTGTTGCTTGGATGGGCCAAACTTGAGCGAATACTTGAACTTTATTTCTTCCCAGACTTCTTTATTCCACCACCAGCTGAAAAAACAAAGTGCATATTTAATTAAAGACCGACATAACAAGAGCCTCACAACTGGTAATTATTTCAATTACAAAACCAGAAAACTTTCTTCAACCAAATGCTTTTTTTATTTCGGTCAACGATGACGTTGCTTGGACAAAAAATCGGCCACAATTGCCCACCAATGCATGACAGAAGAGATGAAATTTGCTAGATTGAGTGGACATGCAAACAAAGATTTAGTAACTTTCTTCAAGACAGTGGAGCTCTGAGGAAGAAGCCTCGGTGCTAAAACAAACATTGGGGCAGAGATTCTCTTTATTGGCAACCCTTGGGCTGGGTGGAAATGTCACATTCCCATGAAGCAGGCCAGTCTTTGAAAAGGACTGGATTTTTCAAAAAGTGGTGCTCATCTTTGATCAACCATGGAGGGATGACACCGAGATGATTGAGATATAAACTGGTAACCGTCACATTTAAAATCAATTTCTTGACTTGACAAATCAAATGACGCAATGCCTGCATTTCCATTCGAGTACATGACACTAAAAATCAACAGTCATTTTCCCGGAAAAGACAATCTCAAGACTCATTTTCAGATGCCACTTGCTTTGAGCGGTTTGCCCAATTGCTTATTGAGTGTTTTTAGTGGCCTAAGAAAATCCAGTGCTTATAGAGCGCTCAAAGAAAATCAACAAACACAAAGGGACAACGTTCAAAATTTACTTCTGCGCACCTGCTCATATCAACGAATAAATATTGAATACATATCAAATACATAAATGGCACAGCCCTGCATTTGGTCTGCTCACATCACTGCCAGCAAAAGGGCTTCCACCCCACCACATGCAGCAACCTTCCGATCGACGTGCCGTGGTGTAGCCGTCTGTTCTGCTGGGTGGACAGTGGTGGGTGGGGATTTAAGAAATTTGCTCCACCGTTTCAACCGGTGACCTCTAGATTGTAAGTCCAATGCGTCTTAAATAACACAACACAGCATTATCCCTTATTATTACGAAAATATTATGTGTGTGGAGCAGCGATGTGGTCAGAGTACCCAACTCACTATGGCAAGGTCGAGTTTAAATTCCAGTCAAGGGTCCCCGGCAAAGAAGACAAAATGAGATGTACTGTGTGTGCGGTCAACAGTGATTGTGCTTTGAAGTGGCTGGGCCTCGTCACAGGAATACACATTACTTAATAAAAGTTTGTTTTTTAATAACAGTCAATAATGCTATGTGAGGAAAAAAAAGACGTTTTAATTTGTTAAATGGATTTAAATATTTGACCTGGATAATCCCTTAAGATGGAACACCTTGTTTGTGCATCCAGTATGTTTTGTATCACATACATACCACTGTTAGAAAAAGTATGTATAGAAAGACTGTTTATACAATGTAAAGTACATATATATGCATCAACAACTTGTACAAGATGGCCGAGGTAGCATGCATGAATGTCACACTGCAATCAAACAAAAATAAATGGTGTACACCGCCGGTTCATATTGGATATTTTCCAGCATTAACCTTTACAACAAAAGGAATAGAATCATAAAGTATCACAAATGTGAGCAATTTTTTTCGTAGAATGGCAGTCTATTTACTCCATATTTATCTTCAATTCATGCTTATAATTTTGTATTATAGATATCACATGCAACATTCAAATTCCTTTCCTTCACAGAGTTATAGCTTTTTCAACAGTATGTTAAGTTGTTATCTGGGTCGTATGTGCTCGTGATCTGCAGTCTGGTTGGTGTATTACTCACGCCTGGCATGGGGGGGGCAAATTTCTTTTATGTAACGGGGACACGTTCAAAGCCATTGCATTTTCCTCTCAAACATTTCAATTGCATTTGAAAAGGATGTAGATAGCTGAGCGGCTCAAAGGGGGCAGGGGGGGGGGTGTCGGGGGGAACGAAACTGCTTTCTCTAGAAGCCCCGAGCAAAAAACACTTAAGAGAGGTGGGTTCCAATTCAGGTTACAACTGCCCATGATTAAACCATAGTTCAGTGTTTGCTGCTTTCGGTTTCGTTTCCCATTGACAACTGTGCTTGAATAATACCTTTAGCGCTGTTGCAGAGAGCCCGACTCGCACTCTTTAAGTTGTGCATTCAAAATCTACAACATTTGTCCTGTGGGGAAGATCCGTCTCTTGTGATAGAAATTAGGAATTTCGACCAGTAGTTCAGGGCTGCAAATGGAGAGCAGTCCTTTGCTCAGTTGGGCAAGGGAGACCTTTGACCTTTATCAAAGGACCACTCCTCCAAGGAGCCTTACTCTACTCTCATCATGTTCCTCAACCTTATGTATGCTCCTGTTTATTCCCTCCACGTGCCTTTATCGCTTATTTCCTTCTGCCAGATTGAGCAACTGCTGCACAGTAATCCCCTTGATCGTTCATCTCTGGGTGCCACCCCAATGCCCGTCTCCGCAACCTTCCTTCCTCCATTGTGTCCATGCTTTCCACCCATCACAGCCTCCTCTCCCTGGTTAGATACAATGCTGTCTTGCCACATCATCCAAGCTTCAAAGTCAATTGCCCCACAGTGCCAGTAAACAATTAGAATCATCCACTTGCACCTAAACTCAAATGTCAGATGCGTCTTTTTGAGTTGCTTTGTTAAAATCCGTCTCTCTGACCCATACATTTAAGAGACATTACTACCGCCTCAAACATCCATATCTTAAAACTAAAGGTGACCTCGATAATACTTGAAATTGGTTTATGTTGGTCAGAGTTCTAGAACATTTTCCTCACCGAGGGTTGAATAGGACTTTCATATATCGTTTGGTAGTGCCACACTATGAAACACACCTCGGTGTTATCCAATAACGCCTTTTGGCGTCATCTGGTCGAGTACCAATTGGGTCCAGGCTCAAAAGAAAGCCGTCCCTTGGTGTGGACCAATCAGTTTCAAGGACAATGCATATATTATCAGTGTTTTTTTTTGCATTTTGACTGCAGGTATTGTGGTTAATGCAGACATGAATCCTTGTAAAAAGGATTCAGTTTTGTTGCCAGAAAAAAGGGGAAAAACCCTGTTATTATATTTTCGTACTGGCAAAGGAGGTCTAATAATGTGAATTTTAATTAGGGCTCACATTTTCTGGTTGACTTGAGTGTGCTAATATTTTAAACAGTGTTGCCAAGTTGAAAATAGTCCCCTCTAATACCAGAAGAGTGTGGCTATAGTGCAGCTAAGGTGCTTGCAGTGATGGAAAAATATCGTTTGTGGGCCATTTTAAAGTGGTAGGCACCATGTGGCAGTGGACCGTATTAAATTAAGTCATGGACCATAGGTTCCCCCATTCCTGGTATCACCGTCATGTGTGTTCAATCCACTGCTGGGTTTTTGGGCTCCGAGTCGACGCTATCTCTCACGATTCTCGGTATAATAATCCACACAGCACCTGCCAATGAACTGATTCCATTTCGTCGATGGATGTCCTCGGGTTCTATTCCTTTATTTCCACAATAATGATACTTGACCATCAGCCTTCATCCCTACAAGTGACGTCCTGCCCAAGCTCACTGGACATCTGTGAAACTACTAGACATCTGTGAAAGCGCTTCATAACTTATTGGATTCATCCATTATACATATTTTGATTAGGATTCACTTACTTAAACGCCTCAACAATGAGGTCATTATTCCCGCATATGTTCTTGAATCCACGTGTCTCTTCATGTATCTCAATGTAATTCAAAGGATGCTTCTTTGATGTAGATCAGACAACCTTGTGCCAATCAGGGTTTTACTTGAAAGATGCTTAGGGATATGTCTCTCCTATGTATAGATCATTAATCATTGCCTACGATGGACCTCTACATCTTGAATACGTACTCAGTGGTCCCTTTTGCCCAGCCTTGGCCTTTAGCTCCTCCAGTTTTTTCTGTTCCTCCTTCTTCTTCTGCTTGAATTCAGCATCAGCCTGCAAAAGGGTTAAATTGAACACACAGTGCACACACACAATTACCTATCACCAGAAGCCATTATCCATCCACCGCTGGATGATCGACTCCCCCACAAACTACGCCATCCCTTAATGTCGTGCGGTGCCATAATCCATCTCGCGACTTCGCACGAGCATATTTCATCGCGACATCTCCACATGGTGGTCATCCTCTCGCGAGTGTTCTAACCCTTGGCTGCTATTCTGTAACCGGTCTCTTCATCGACCACCATACCGTCCAGTGAAGTGTCCTGCCCAAGGCCAATTTACTTTCCTTAAGTCAATAAATTGTATTTAATTTCGATTGAAAGCTTTCGTGACTGCAAGGATTCATCTTCTTTGGTTCTTTCGGTAAAGTCACGTAGAATGAGAATAAAATAATAAATTGATCAAATAAAATAACACAGTAAAATTCTCACGACGTTGAAGGCCGCTTGTGTTGTGGCAGAAACATCGTGAGAATTTAATTGTTATTTTATTTTATCAATTTATCATTTTATTCTCATTCTACGTGACTACCGAAAGAGCCAAATAAGATCAATAAATTGTGTTCGGTTAGCATTTGTTCCACGATCAATGTATTCCTCCATCTATCAGTGCAATTATTAACATTAATCTCCCCTTGCTTCTTGCATACGTTTTAAGCGTGTGTTCCACTGTCGGTATCCATGTTTTGGATTTGTACGTTTGAACAGTTAATGATATACACCGATTGAAAACTTTATATGCCAGAATATTATTCTTAATTCTAGTTTTTGGAAAACATCTTGTCGCTGTGAATAGTTCTGTCGAGTGAATTTCTTTGCCCAACGTTTATATGCAGATCTCAGTCGCAAAACATTACAAATACCCATGGCAACAAACGTCAGACGGCAAAGGAGGACATTCTAGACATCATCCACTTCCCTTCACAGTATTAAAGCAGGGAACACTCAAGGCCTCTATGGGATAACTGTGGACATTGTCAACGACGTAGCACCGTATTTAACAAACGTTTACAGATACATGAGAACGCTCAACAGTGGACCGATGCCTCATTCTTAAACTTAACAAAACCGATTTTAAGACTGCACACATCTTAGCTTTTTATCACCTAAACACATTGCTCAAAAGGAATAAAATATTAGACAACAGTCCAACAAACCACCAGGGGTTTCACCACGAGCCACATACGTTAAACAAAATGGCTAAAAATAATATACAGTACGTCAAGCTTGTTTTTTAGACCAAGACAAGGATTTTTAATTAAGGGAAACCGATAAATTGTTCAAGTCATCACTAACATTGTTCATGATAACAGATACTTAGCTTTTTTTAAACCAAAAAAACTGGCAGTGCTTAAACCCGCAGGCCTTAACTAGCTGTGGATATTCCATATTCGTATGCTGGGGGCAAAGTCCATCCAAAGGAAACCCACTGCTGATAGTCTACGAAACCAGTATCCACAGTTGTACTCAGTTACTGAAGAAACCTTTAATTAAAAAATGTGAAGCCTTTTTATTTGATAAATACGATGCATCATTCAAGGGGCCTTGTTACAGAGAAAACATTTCCTAATACGGATAAGCGTCGAAGGCAACAGCCGCCGCACCCCATTGGCCGGATTCCCACGTCACGTGGCCGCAATGCGCCAATCACAAGGGTGAACGGTGCACGTTTCGCCAATGAACCGTACGAAATGTAATCTGTCCCGTGGTACTAGATTGTCATCATCGTCGAGTTATGTTTATAATTTTATACGTTTGAATATTCACCTCATCTTCCTCTTTCGCTTGCTTCTTGGGCGCCTTAAGAGGCTTCTTTTTGCCGCCTGTGGGAAACAAAGCGTTAAAAAGTTAACCTCCAACGGCCGATTCTCGAATGCTTAAAACACCACGTTTCTTCCCGCCCCTCTCTCTCCCCAATCTCTTAAACTACGAATTAAAATCCGTTTCATCAACAAAACACAGGACGCGCCCCACGGCAAGCGAATGTTGTAAAACGAACGAAACGCGGTACATTAAAACGCATTTAACGCTCATACCTTCTCTCCCAGACATGTCAGAGCAAGGCAGTGTGCACGAAGAACTAAAGATTATGGCGGAGACGTGCGAATAAATGACTCCTTATATGGGCAACGCGGGCGGGAACCTTGCGGGACGGCCGCATAAATTATGCTAATTATCAAAAGAGGCGCAGCCTCAAGGTTTGCGGTTCGAGAGAATCCCTGCATAAATTATTCCTTATATGGGCAACATGGGAGGGGAACGTGCGACACGGGGCAAAAATTATGTTAAATTATAAAGAGGCGCGCGTCCCCACCAATGTGGTTCGAGACCACCGTCGCATAAATTATGTTAATTTATAAGAGGGACGTTGTAACAGATAAAATTAGTTTAACACGTAGGCTTTCGCGACCAATGTTATTCATAATACAGTTTTTGGGTTAGATCGCGTTATTTATAAATGTGTCGTAACCCTCCACCACCCGACACGGCCAATCAGATAAAATTAATCCCGCGTCCGGATGAATGATAAATTATGTTAATGCAGAGGAAAGCCAATCAGCGTCAAGGGGCAGTCTGATGTGGGCTTTGTTGATCCACAAATTACGTCTTAAGATCCACAAATCATGTACGATCCACAAATCGTCGGTTTCAATCCACAAATCACGTGACAGGAATCACCAAGCTTGGTCCGTGCTCGATGAAGGTCGATTCCCGTTTAATCGAACATTGAATTATTAAAAACACGTGGATTCCATATTCTTGGTTCTTTCGGTAAAGTCACGTATAAAGTATTCCTTATATGGTCAAAGCCACGCCCCATTAATTACGTCACTTTACCGAGAGACCCAAAGAAAATGAATTCCTGCAGTCACGAAAGCTTTAGGTCAAGATAATTTCATCCTGTTACAGCGCGATATGGCTCGAGATCATCCGCGCATAAATTATTATGACGCACACATTATTCCTTATATGGGCAACGTGGGCCTTCATACACGGGTGCATAAATTATGTAAATTTTATATAGGCGCCTTCGTTTATGGATTGAGATCATCCGCGCATTAACTATTCCTTATATGAGTTTTGAAGTTTTCGTGACTGCAGGGATCCATACTCTTTGGTTCTTTCGGTAAAGTCACGTAGGAATCATATAGAATAATTTAATTTAAAATAATGTAATTTATTTATACCTACGTGACTTTACCGAAAAAACCAAAGAGTTTTCTTTATATGGGCAACGCCGGAAACGTCGTTTTCATACCTTAGGCAGGCTGGGCTTGGTCACGTTGGGAGACTTAAACACATTCCTGCGGATGGAGCTGGTAGGAACGTTGGGTTGCTCGGTCAATGGCTAGGGTCAACGGCGGCACGTGGTGTATTCCGCAAATATTCCCGACTGTGAGGGCGGGCACAAGCCGGCGTGAGTAGGTTAAACGTTGAGTTTTATATGGGCACCACGGGGTGACCAGCCCCTCCCCACCCAGCCCCACCCCTCCCACCCCCCACCCAGCCCCCACCCAGCCCCTCCCCACCCTCCCCACCCTCCCCACCCAGCCCCTCCCCACCCTCCCCTCCTCACCCAGCCCCACCCTCCCCACCCTCCCCTCCCCACCCAGCCCCACCTCTTCCATTTTTGAATGCACGACGGACGGACATAATAATCAGAATGTTACAACAACAAACTTTATAAAAACGCGAGAGTGCAAAGTACAGGAAATGTCAAACTAATCACTTAACAAAAATATACAAATAAAACGAAACCATGCTACATCTTACTATATGAAGCCCAAGAAGCTATTATATTTTTTTGTTAGATAGCCGGACCCAGGATATTGAATATTTTTAATGCAAATTTTCTAATTCAGTCCAAAGTAAAAATACATTTCGATGAACGTGTTTTTAAATCAGGTAAGGCCCACTGAGCGATGTAGCTCCTTTTTCAGAAGCGCCCTGGCCACAAATGATAGCTCAATGAAGTGGCTTATAGTGTGCAAATTTATAGCAGCCAAATACTCTAAACGCGTTTTTCTAAACGTGGAGGGAAAGATCAGGGGACCCAGAGAAAAATCCACACGACCACGGGGGAGAGAGAACAATAAAAACTCCTAATAGGCAGCAGACGTTATGGTCGGAAGTGAAATGTCCTACCTAAGCTCACTGGACATCTGTGAAAAAGAGCTTCATAGTTAATCGGATTCCTCCAATACAATTACATATTTTGATTCGAATGTTGTATTATGGATTGACTAAGTAGGGTACAAAAGAAGTTCAACATACATGCATATTTTTACGATTTGTTTTACCTATGAAAGACTCACCGAGTCCCAATGCTTTTATTAGGAAGGTCCTGCAAAGTTTTCGAAGTTAGGGGGGGGGGATTGCTACGTTTGCCGAACATAAATATCATCTTTTAAAATTCAGAATCAGAATATTTATTTATACTAGAGGAATCCGACGAGCTATAAAGCTATTTTTTCACACATGTCCGGTATTTGTACCCTGACGCCCTCAACGTCAACCGTTAATACCGCAGCAATGACCAGGGTGGCCGAATCGAACCGTGAACCGTCTGCAACAAGCGACGACTGCGCTACCGCGAGGCCGCGCCACCCGCCTTGTCCAAGTCGCTGTCCAGGCTCCGAACCTGCGTGGCGTCGCAGGTCTCATGCGGCCGGCCTGGCGCGTTCCAGATGATACATTGGTGGCGGGGTTAACGAGGCATTGATATTTACGCGATCTAAGCCAAAACAACCCCCAACCTTTCTTATGGATGATATTGGTCGCGAAAGCCTAGGAATATGAAAGTCTACGTGTTCAACTGGTCATGTACATTATTGATGAACGGGCGTTGTATCTTTCCAGCGACGCACACTCAGCAACAACACACTCGTAGGACGCTCTTTCTTCGGCCCCTTTATCTTCTTGTGGAGCCCGTGAGTTTTTGACAAACACCCATTTTTATCTCTCTCACTCCCCCCGCACCTTCTGGAACCTTCCACAAGTGGGTTTCTTGCCATATCCCTACCTCGTTGTCCGCGCCTTCGTTAACCGCGTCCTCTTTAATTTACTCCCCTTGGCTATGGCCCCGTGTCCCCACGTGGCCCTTAAATAATCTTGGCTGTATGTCTCTTGTTCCAGCGCCTAACCTCAGCGTGACCCTGCACGACCCTAACACATACGACATTAGTCGTGTACCGTAATTGCTATACTGCATCTTGAATGTATCGTGTAAAGACTGAAGTTCGCAAATGCTTACAGCAGACGGCGCTGTTGCCTCAATTATAACGTGGCGATGGTTGTGGTCAAGGAATGGATAATAATAATTATTATTTTTGCAATTGGAGCTGGGATATCCAATTATTTCAGCACGTAATTAATTGCTATCATTTCTCCAGCATTGGTAAAGGCAGGGGTCGGCAACCAAAATGACAAAGAAGAGCCATTTTTTTCGAATTTGGTTAACAACCCCCCCCCTCCCCTCAATATTGCAAGAGCCGCAATGCCCGTGAATACGAGACGGCGCTCCTGAACAAATAAGGGTCACGACGCAGCCCTTGAAGAGCCGCATGCCGTTCCGGAGCCGCAGGTTGCCGACCCCCTTCCCCCCGGGTTCAGGCAATGCTGACGAGGCACTGAATTTCAACACAGGTCGAGCGTTTGCTGGTGTGCCACCAATGCGGCTGGGATTATTTCACGCCTAAAATGCCGCGATGAGTTACTCCCTCCTCCCCAACCAGGAGTTCAACTCGCAACCTTCCGAATGCAAGCCAGCTCGCTCTACCCATTGAGCCATCTGGCCGCGGATTATTTTATATTTAAGGCGGTGACGCGGTCCAAGTGAGCAGGCCATTGTCAGCTGGCGTCAAGGACCGAATTTGCCAATTAAAAAAAATTACCCCCAAATTACTCACTTGGAAATTGTACCCAGATCAATGATCCGGGCCACTCTTGTAAATGAGAGTCATCCTGGTCTCTTGAGCTCTCACCTAGCTAAACAAAGTAACATTTAAACCTACACTATTTTTATATTTTTTGGTTCTTTCGGTAAAGTCACGTAGATAGAAAAATAAAAATAAAGTGAATAAAAATAACAACAAATTAAAATAATACTGTAGCCTGGTTCTTAATCGGAGTGAGTGTACTGGCAGTCTATAATGTAGACTGTAGCCTGGTTATTAAGTTTGGTGAGTGTACTGGCAGTCTATAATGCAGACAACCTTGGTGAGCATACAAGCAGGCTATAATGTAGACTATAGCCTGAAAAAAAAAGCCATGATGTTTTAATCGCAACACAAGCGGTAATCATCAGGAAAAAGGGGGTTAGCCTCTAAAGGTAAACTGTTTATAGAGGTTTGGAGATGGGCGTGGCCCAAGTGTGTCAGTAGCACCAGCAGCGTGGGCGGGGCAGCTGATGCCAATGCAGGAGACAATAACGACACCAGCAGTGGGTCAACACCAATCAAAGGGCCGCCAGGCAATTACTGCACCCGCTCCACACACCACACTGCTGACGGTGGACGTTGATTGACAAGAAAACACAAGTCAAGTCATGACCCAAAGTGATTGATGACATCTTTCCAATGATTGCTAAGTTTATAACCATCCTCTCGGTTGAAATTGTGTCTGTGTTTGTATATATGGATGGCTTCATGAACGAATCTTTGTTGATAGCCAATAGGCTTGCAAAGTACTTCTAGCGACGACGTGTGAGCCAGCCGCATTCAAATAATGATCAGCCATGGAAGAAGTATTGGTCCTACCGTGTTTCAAATCTGCCTTATGCTCACGAACTCGGTTGGAGACATGTCGCTTAGTTTCCCCAATGTAACTGCTGCCGCAGATACAGCTTAGTTTGTAGACACTGGGATATTGCATGTCAGGAATCTTGTCCTTCACAGATGGGATCAGATCACGAATTTTATGCACTGTGTTAAATCGGACCTGGTTCCTGTGTTTGATCATGATTTGGGAAATATTTTTGGTTACCCCTGCTATGTATGGCAAGGTGATGGTTTTGATTGGATCCTCAGATGGCTCCTTCCTCACGGTTGGGGTGATGGCTTTGCGGATTATGTAGTCAGAATATCCATTCGCCTTGAGAGCTTGGTGTACGTGTTTGAGTTCACTGGTTAGGTGTTCATGGTCGGAGATACATTGAGCTCTATGGTGTAGCGTTTTGATGAGGGAATTCTTCTGGGATGGATGGTGGTGGGAATCAGGTTTTACGTAGGCGTCAGTATGTGTTACTTTCCTGTAGACATAATGGTTCATTGAGCCATCTGGTCTCTTTTTGATTGGTCGAATTCAAACATATGAATTCCTGCAGTCACGAAAGTTTTAAGTTAAAATTCTATGCTACTTTTTTCAGGGCTATTTTTCAACCCACTGCTGAATGAAGGCCTCCTAGTGCCTTGTCACTCATGGGGGAGGGGGGGGGGTTGACCAATTACTTGGTTAGTGAAGGGGATGTGCCCAGAAATGGTTGAGATTATCACTCATCGCTGGCATTAAGTGTGACGTGGACTCGGGTTACCCCGGGCTTGACGCACGGCGCGCGACGGCACTTTTGCCCCCTCCCTCCGTATCTCAAACTTAGCTACGGCAAACTTTACATCGTCGCTACAAGTAATCGAATTGTAAATGTTGTGGGTTTACTCTCCAACACAACGGTGTGCTGAGCTAGTAATCCATTGGCATGTTTAGGTTTATGTGACAAACCTTGCTAATTTGCTCTGTCGAGTGGTGGTGGGTTTAATGACACATTTAAATTTAAGCGATCTAACCCAAAAACTTCTACAATGTACATACTTTACATTAAATAATATATTCACGCCGCAAAAGCGTTGAGGTTTTGCCTCGTGGCCTAAAGGTAAAAGCGCAGCCCTGCAATTCCTTGCTCGTGCCAACGGTGGCAGGTTATCCTCCACTGCAGGGAGCTCTGAAGAGCCCCCCTCGAGAGGGTGTTCAGCCTAATTCCGTGCTGGTCAGACGTCGTGGAAGAGATGAGAGTACCCACACTTGATCTCACCACGCGCGGCCCGCTGATCGCCCGTGATGCACCCATTTATACTGCCGGGTGGACAGAGGTGGTCCGAGAGGTCACTGTGCATAAATGATTTACTATTTGACAAACCGCCACAAGGCCAAAACTCACGGTGATGATCGATGAGTGAGTGAATGAATGACAGCTTGATTTTTTGTCTCTTATTTTGAATGCTAGCCTCTATTGCGGCCAACTTTTCCCTCCTGACCTATTGATTCAACCCCATTTTTTTGCGCCAAATTTAAGACTACAATCTTACAAAATGACCTTCCAAGGTTGGAGCCATGAAACTCCCACTTCAAGGCACAATTTTTCAGGACTGTCTTTTTTTGTAAAAGAAAAAAAACATCCACCGGATTATAAGACGTTCCGGATAGTAATACACACCGCGAACTGGTGACCAGTGTCTGTTACGCACATACGGATTTATTGGATTATAAGACGCATCCCCGTTTCCTTTAACATACAACGGGGGAAAAAGATATCTTATAATCGGAGAATACGGTTTTATTAATTTAGAAATCATAAGAGCCAACACCACGGATATATATATTAAAATTCTACAATCTAATTGCTATGCAGCCCCCAGTATCTCTACGACGTTACAAGGAGGACGGAAAAGCAACATTGACGCACAGTAAACCGGCCTCTCTTTACAAGTAAGGGACATGCATTTTTATTTTATTTTTAAATACAGTACCAAGATTTGCCTTTGACCAAATCACCCTCGTCGGATATCGTCGGCCCTCCGAAAGCTAAGCAAGCTTGAGGCTGGAGTGTGCTTTGATGGGGGTGTTATAAGCTGACAGGTAGTCCGCATGACTCGGCGTTATAGGCAGTGGGCAGTGCGGTTAAAATCCATTGTTGTACCATACTGTACATGTGTGCCCACGTCTATGCCAGTGTCGGATTATCCTGGTAGCAAAAGTAGCTGCATATGCTGCGGGCCCCGCACTTTCAAGGGCCCCGCGCTAAATGCTTTCAAGCTATCAATTCCGGTTCAGTGATTCTGCACTTGCTCTATTACTATAGTACTAGATTGCCTTCAACTTTTATGAACGACTGGGTGTTTAAGGTTAGCGATTTGTCGTATTATCTGGCTGTATAGCAAATTAACAAATACAGTTACTTTACTATGCAAGTCAAAAATGTGTGTTTAATATTGACGTGTTTAAAAAAAAAATGTATGGCTTCCTTATAACATATGCTACCGGCCCCGTACTCGCTTAATCCGGCACTGGTCTATGCTCTCAAAACCTTCCACCTGCACTGACCGGTGCGGCGTAGAACGGTCGTGAAAAAGCCCCCACCACCCGCGACAACACCTGGACGCCCTCATCCAGCACCGGACTGACCAAAGCGCTGTACACATGCACACAGTGGCCAGGATAAGACCCTCGGCTGGCGATACTGCAGAGCCGGATTTAAACGCGGATGAATGAGTCTTCCAATGGGTTGCATGTAATGCATATTGGTGCCGTATGCCATGCGTTACAATTGAATAGAAATCTGGATGAGTTAATGCAATGTGATGATTCATGCAGTGGCTTACCTTTGCGGCACAGGCATCACCATCTTCACCATTGCCAAAACTACCCGAT